AATCGTTTTCCCGTTCAGTGGAAATTAGGATTGAATCCGCTTATATACTAGAACGAATTTTACTTGGCGCGGAACAATACGAATTCTGGCAAGTTTCCAACAATTTAATTTGAGATGAGACTTCGAATGGATTTTGTGCGTAAAAAATTTTGTTCAGTTTTCCAGTGGTGTCACTTTGCAAAGTTTCTGAACTTAGTGCTCCACTTTTTTCATGTTTTCTTTTTTGTTTAGTGGGCAGTAAGCGCAATATTTTCATAGTAGTTTTAGTGAACGGACTAGATAACCATACATTTCTTAGCTTTTTTTTTTTTTGCTTAATATTCTAGTATTTTATGACGACAGACAAAACCATACCGTGGTCTGAATATTGTTGCTTTTCAATTACGTAAACTTAGTGGCATTAAACTGTGGGTTAGTATCAGGGATTGCTATATGTTATCGATTGAAATCAAAGACTTCTAATACTTAGTTAAGGGTCATAAGACCAGGGTTAATGCTTCCTGATGGAAGACGAGCGCGACATAAAGTTGGAAAGAATTACATAAGGTCTTCCGAAAGTGACGCATAAAAGTTTTCATTGATTTGGAAAATATAGTTTTTGTGGGTCATCAAAATCGAGGTTTTTTAGTTTCTAAGGCAGAACCTTAGAGATTTGGAAGTTGCAAAGGAAAGAGGTAAAATAACTCACATTTGATCATAGAATTTGTCATAAACTGAAGAGTTAGTAAGTTTCAGCTGTGGGAGGAAATAGCAACTTTAATGAATTTGTAATTACGATGACTATAATCCATTTGATTCAAAAACCTCACTTTGAAAAACTCAGTTTTTTTGTTTTGGAATCTAATAGTTTATAAAATGGGCAGTTTTCTACAAATACGAGAATTAGCTAATATCGAGTTAGAAGTAAAACTAGTAACAGTTTGTTCAAGTGTAAGTCGTTTGAAGATATTTAGGTTTGCGAATGAATTGTAGTGCATGATTATGTAAGTTTAATCTAACAGAAAATTGTTCAATAACTGCGCTAAAGAATTTTTAATTAATTTTTTTTTTTTTAGAAAGTGGTTTCTATGGGACGAGATTGGCTCTTTACTGAAGAGCAGTTGAGTGATACTCCTTCAAGACGAGATGGGATTGATCGAAACGAAGAGGACAAATTGCGCCGAGACGGTGTTAAACTCATAGTGGAAATTGGAACCGGATTGAAACTGTACTTTTTTCTAGTTCTTCCTTAATTATTTTTAATCTGAACTCAGATGAACGAAATCACTGTTTACTGAATTTTCCAGTGTACTGAGGTCGAGATTTTAGGCAACCGCATCCAACCTTGGCTACTGCGGCAGTTTATTTACATCGGTTTTACATGTTTCATTCTTTTAAAGAATTCCCGAAGCATGTATGTTGATTGCTGATTTTTTGCTGATGCTTAATTGGTTTGTTACAAATCATTTTAACGATTAATTGATTTATTTTGCAGTTGACCGCCTTAGGGTGTTTATTCTTAGCTGGAAAAGTGGAAGAAACTCCAAAAAAGTGCAAAGACTTAGTTACCGTAGCTAAAGAAAAGTGTCCTGAACTTTACTCTTCAAAGAATGCTGTAGTAAGTTTTGTTTTTAATTTTTGATAACTGTTTTTTACTTACTCATTTTCAACTGTCTTGCTGATTCAGGAAGAAGTAATGGGTATCGAAAGGGTGTTGTTACAGACAATTAAGTTCGATTTGCATGTGGATCATCCGTATACGTATTTGTTGCAATATCAAAAAGTTTGTTTCTTACTCACTTTTATCTCTTATTGTTACTTTTAATTACCTCTTAAATCATTTTGTGTGGCTCTACTGATTTTTTTCCTTACTTTAGTAGCTCATAAATTTGCTTTGATTGAAAATTGGTTCTGAGAGGTTAGTGGCAGCAAGCAGTACAAAATTATCAACGTAAAAACACTGACTTTTCATTCGGTTGTAATTCTGTACGATTAGAGATCAGTAAATTGTTAATGCGCTTTTAAAACTCCTGAGCCACGCATTCTTCTCTCGCCGACATATGACTCGAAATGACTAAGGAGATGATCTGTAGACGAAACTTTTGGAGAGTAAGGTCAACTTAGAAGAACGTCGTATTAAGACCAAATTTTTTTTCATTTAAACAACACATCTTGGCTTTTTCATACAGTAACAATGCTTCCTCTTTTGCGGCACGCTTAGGGACATTTTATCCCAGTTCTTATCTATATTCCCAAATCTTGAACAGTACTTCTCTGCAGTAATAACCTCACCAGCATTCAGGAAGCTTGCGTAAATTACCTCACAAATGTTCCGTCAAACCCTATTTATTACTTAGGTTAGTGGAGATCACACTTCGCCAGCCGACTGGGAAGTGGCTGATATTTTTCTGTTTTTTTTGGTTGTCTTGCCTAGCTTCAATGACAAATCACAAACGGCTCCATAAATCGATCAGTTTCAAATCACTGAAGAAGATTATCGCAGTATTGGACAAGCTTTATTCGTTGTTTCTCAAGATGCTTGTGAAGTATTCGGTTTTCCAGCTTCTTCCTATTGTATGCAGGCGTATGTAACTATATGAATTGAACTCCGAAATTCTGCAGCCTTGCTACGAGTAATTCTTTTAAAATTAGCTTTGAAAGCTGTTCTTAAATTCTTGGTCTTTGTAGTAAACTCCTGTAGGGTATTTAGTTTTCAATAATTAACCTTTTTCCGCAGATTTCATAAACAGTTGCAATAGAGTCCGTCCTTTCATTTAAGATTTTACAATTAACCAGCGACGCTACCCCATTTTTCTCAAAAATGCAGAGAAGTCGCCCAAAAGTTGCGTTTTTGCACTCTAAACGCAAAGGACCTTTTAAATACAAAATTAAAAATAGAGAATGGCACAGAAGTGAAATATGAAGGAAAAGCAGATAATAGGTTTTTTGTCAGTGTTATTGTTGAACACTTTCCTCAAAAACCCTTGTGAATCATAGAGGATCATAGAGGCCAGAAATCGTAATCTAAAATTTTTTTAGGTATTTAAATTGGACAGAGATAAGAAGCAGTCGGTTCTACAAAATGCCTGGACTTTTGTTAATGACTCAATATCTACTACTCTTTGTTTAATGTGGGAGCCAGAAGTAAGTAAAATATTTTTTTTAAGTTAAATTTTAACAGTGCATCTGTATGACTTAATTTTTATAGTTCGGTGCTTCCTTTTTCACTTGTTTTCTTGAATAGGTAGTGGCGATTTCTTTAATTTACATGGCTCTCAAAATGACAAAGTTGGACAATTGTGATTGGATTGACCGGCGTCCAGGAGAGCAGTGGTGGGACCAGTTTGTGGCAAATTTAACATCTGATATGATGGAAGAGGTTAATTTATTTTGCATTTCTGCTTTAAATTTTTTCTCAATAACAGATTGACAGATTGTTAGTGTCTCATGAATTTTTTGACTGCTAGATTGTAGATTTCCTTCTTGAATAGCTGAAAGTTCATTCTGAACTTTTTTTCTTACCCCGTAATAATATTCTTTTCTACTTAAAAAGCTTTTTTACTTTATCTTACCAGTCATAACGACTCTTTACAGTATTTTGATTATCAGTTTCTTTTTTTTGTTTTTTTTTGGAGCAGTTATTCAGTTGATCACATTTAGGTTTGTCACAAAGTTCTTGACTACTACACAGCTACTAGAAGAGAAAGGTGAGAAAACGGGAAGATCCTTCAGACGCATATTTTTTCTTGTGATAGAATTTCATTTATTCAAACGGGTAGCCTTTCTTACAGCGAAGTTACTTCGTATAATTTAGAATTATCTTGATTCATTAAATGTTTCAAATCATTGCTTGTATTCAAAAACATTCCTGATTCTGCTGTTACTGTTTTAAAGAATGTTTTGTAGACCGCATCGCCTAATAAGACAGTGCAAGACTTTTGTTACTTTAGTTTAAGCTGCTGGGACTAAACGCCTTTTTTACTAATTTCTGTTCTAATATACTTATTGATTTTTCTTCCCATTTAGGATTAGAGGCTCTTCAAAAAAATTAAATTTTTTCTTACCAGAATTTATTATACTTTATTGAAGGTTTTTCACACCTGATTGAGAAGTGTAATTAAGTGGGAGGTAACAAAGAAACAATTTTAGTTCTTTAATTTATAGTAATCTGATTGTTCTTGTGGCCTCGTGTCGTACGTTTGTTGTGCTCGCTTTTATTTTGTAATTAATTTTATTTGAGTTGCAATAACTCGATCTTTTTGGATGCATCATAATGTTGATTTTGACAGTAGATGAAACGGCATT